CATAAAGCCCCAGACAGCATAGCTCCTAGGATCATTGGGACACTCAAACCCCTCCACCACGATAAGGTAGCAGCCCAAGGAATTTAATATTAGACTAAAAAAAAAAAAAAACCACTTCCTTACAAATTTTCTGTGGCTGTGTTGATTGCAGAATTTCCCTTTAGAGGATTGTGTTTTTTTATGCAGTCTTCTGCACTAATTCTCCAGTGAATCACAGCTTTTAAGCCAAAAACATGAATGATGCCAAACTCCAGATGGAGCGTTCACCAACAAACCCTGAAGCAGCGGCAGCTCAGCTTTATCTGCATATCGGAGCAGCAGGCACGCATTCATGGATGAGTCTGTGCCAGAAAATGAAGATGGAGAATAAAAGTGTGCTGCTGTTTACTGGAAATGCAAATGTTGCTGAGTTACACCTGAAACTAGAATTCGTAGTGAAGAACATCACAGCTTATGTATTTTCTTGAACTCTGTTCTGTTTGTCTAAAAAAAAAGTTGTTATATTTGACACACTCATGGAGACAGAGAGGCAGAGAATCCCTCGTTCACTTTAATTCGGTATAAATATAATAAGGTTTGAAGGTTGCGCTCTGCGGTCCACATTCAGAGGTCACACCAGCTGTTAGCAGGTTGTTGTGTTCCAGGAAAAAGTTTTAACAATAGTTTTTTTATGTGCGTGTCTTTGTGTTTGTCCCGTAAACTGAAATGCCAGGTCACATTTCATGCAGCCTCGTGTGAAGGCTGAAAACAGATTCAGCTGGGCATGAAAGCTGCGGCCACACTCTATAGATACTGTAAGAGCAGAGAAACTGTGGCCTGAATGCTAAGCACATCTTGTTTGGCTGAGCTTCTGAGTCTCTCTGCCAGGTTCATCTAATCTGCAACGGGCTTCAGTCTAAACCTCATGGGGATGCTCTGAGGTCCCGTTTGGCCACCAAACAAACACACACGTGGTCCAAACGCCTCAGAACTGACAGCTCATTTAAAATGGCACAAACTGAACAGATTTTATATAGTTTCATGCTTTCAGAAATGTTACAAGATTGACACTTTTTCTGCTTTTTAAATACCAATCAGGCATTTATTGGAAATATAAGGTAAATGAGTTAGCTTTGGTGATTATCTCTAAATTAGTTCATAATTAGTGAAAAATCAGAGCAGCATATATATTTATTTAATGTCTGTGATTCTTATTACGTCAAACAGTGTCATCATTAGAAATAATGAAGTCGTTATTTTTGTCTTTTGAATCCGTTTTTGTGCTTCTC